TGTTGGCATCAGTTTCTAAGATGTTAAGACTTACTGTATTATATATTTAAAAAAGCTTTATGGAAAAGTTAAAGACAGTTGAAGACTTTTATTTAAAATTACCCATGAGGAAAAGTGATTGGTTTCTTGCACAAACCTTAAGTCTGACAAATTTACTATCAATCTATATATTTTGTACATTAAACTTACCATTTGTTGTCTACCTTCCTACATCAATTTGTGTAGTTCATTTTCAACATGTCTAGTGAATATCCCTGTTGCATTTGTTCACCATTTGTCCCAAAAAATGCAAACAGATAAATTTACAAACAAGACTAAAGGTACAGAAAACAAAAACAGAAACGAAGAAAAACAAACAAACAAACCCTCTGGTTTGCATTTTTTGACAGATAATTATAGGTAAGAGTTTTATGAGCTTCTCTGACTTTGAACCATGATCCTCAGATCTCAGTTTCTTGAGTAGCTAGGATTATATAAAACTGAAATCACAGAGTGTTAAGTAGTTCCTTTCACTTTGTTTTCCATAATTTCTGGCACAGGTATGCTTCACATTCAGGACTGCTTTCTTCAAGCCTTCACTTTTGAAAAATAGCTTCTGGAAGAAAGTGACTTGAAGCAGTAAAGGGCTTATCAACTAAATATGAGTTAGATTTGCACTGGACCCCTATCCTCCTGGCTTCTGATTCCTTTTACACCATTGGGAAATTCAATTAACCCAACCCAGAGAATCTAATTGTATTCATTGCTTCAAATTGACACTCTTACCCTTTCATTCGTTAAACATTTAGCAAGTTCCTATAGTTGAATGTCTGCACATATCTGAAGAAACGGAGAGTAGCAATTGCTTTGTAAGGCCTCCATTTAACTTCTGAGTGTACACAAATCATGGTTTTTCTAATCTGCTTTTGTTGCACATTGTCTTGCTTTTATTTTACTCATGGAAGCAAACATGACCCTAGATCATTTTAAAACTGTCATGGCTCCCAATTTCCTTATAAAATTTTCTTAGCGCAATTTGTAAAAAATTGAATTGAACAACAGTTCCACTCATAATAAGATGTCCAAATATTAGATAATATATATTTGAATTGGATGTGGATTTAGAGGCCAACTAATTAGTTCATTAAAGAAAAAAAATGAAGACTATAAAAGTGACTTGAAACTAAAGTGAAAATGATAGCCACATTCACTATGGCATTTATTAACAGTTTATCTCTCTGTGTGAAGAATTAAACATTGTGCTACCAGGAAAAGGCAATGTAAACATATCTCTTCCAAAGATTAATCAAATAAATTTGTACTTAATAAAAATAATGTATGAACATAATGTATGAAATTAAGAAATTAAAAAAAGTTTTATTGAGACATTGGCTTTGCTGTGAATAGTTTTTTTTTAAATATACCTTCTAATCTCCAAACTTTAGTCTCAATTTTTAAACAGTCATATTCACAGAGATCATAGTCTGTCCTATGTGATTGAGAGAAATTAATGCTAAGTGCCATGAGACAAGTAAAAGAAAGCTCAAAAGATTTTGCAAAACTTTCTACAAACTTATTTTTGTATGGTTCAAGCTATTTGTTGAATTATTTGTTTTATACAGATTAACTTTATTTATCTGATATATACCTTTTCATAATATATGTTTTAAAGAGTTTCAATTATGGTAGACTTTCTATATTTTATATTTCAAAGCAATAGTTTTAAAATAATGAATATTAAAATAATATTTTTAAGTAAGTAGTAGAAAGTGAAAATGTCTTCTTATGGCTTTGAAATAGAAAGAATGCATAGAAGAGTAATGCGTTTCAAAACAGGTTATATGAAATTTTAAATATTTGGCAGAATTCTTTTACATGTCTCTCACAAACAGAGGACACTGGCAGTTGAAAATATTAATTTTAACATTATCGACCTTTAGATGCTTAGGATATTTCAGATGACATTCAGAAGAGCAAATGAGAGACTAGTATTCAACAATTTAATATATATTCAAATGAATAGTATAATAGGAGAGACATTTATGAAAGGGCATATTTATAGTTCAAGAAATGTTGGTAGGTTATTATGATAACCTCAGTTGTACCACTATAAAGTTTAATGTGGTCATATGAGTAAATTCAGATCTTACTTTTTTACCTAAAAGTAATTTTATATAATGTACAAGAAACTTCTGTAAGGTATGCATATCAGAGTTTGAAAATACTAAAATACCTCATCAAGGAAACTATAAAGATGACAAATAAACATATGAAAACAAACTCAATTTATTACTAGATGATATTGATATTGCAGAAATATAAACCATGGTAGAAAGGAAAGGTATTATGATATGCATTTAGAAATTATAGTAGGGAGTAAAAAGAAAGCAGATAATCTTCATTTAGATCCATAAATGTGAAATCACCTACAGTTTTGATTCAAGATGCCTCTATAAATTAATCATAATTTTATATAAATTCTAAGTATGTTTCAAAATGAAACTGTCATTCTTCTTGATTCATTCTTCTGGGCACTTATCTAAAGAGTGTGTGCTTTCTTCTTATTTTTAGGAAGCTCATAGAAATCCTTTCTGACAACTGTCAGGTTGTCTGTTACTTTGTCAAGCAAAGTGATAGACAATCCATGGCCCTTGGGAATGCAAATTTCAAATCAGAAATCAATTCTTGTAGTAACTCAGAGTATACAAGACAAACAGATGGGTCTATATTCTCAATTAAATGTTTTCATATATTTATGGTGTTTATACACACTCCATGTTTTAATAGATTAGTCACTGAAATCTTCATGATTTATAATTATTTGAGGGAAAGATGTTGTTATGGTCACACAGATGTAATTTTGTTTTACTAGAATATAAATGCCAAAAGTATTTTACTTATAATTCTGTCATTGTAGACTGAGCCCTTTTGGAAAATGCATTCCTTTTAGTGATAACTAAACACAGAACAGTAGAGCAAAGAGTATTTCTTTTAAAGATCACTGTACTAACAAGTATTTTAGATTGTATTATTTTACTTCTTGACAATTTGTGAACAATAAGTAATATAATCAAAAATTTTGATAATCAACTTGATTAAAATTTGTTAAGACATCAATTGTTTATTGCAAAATAAATGTAAGATCCAGAGTTAGACTTTAATATAATATGTTACTTTGACTTTAATATATTTTTGTTAATGTGAGTTTTCTGGATATACTTAAACAGAAAAATGGATTACATTAAATATGTAATTTAACAGGTATAAAGCTATAGAATAAAGAAACTATACTGAATATATTACAATACTACTTACAATTATTGAAAAGTAGATAATCTGTCAATATTTACTTGTACATTTGTGTATTTCATTCAGGGACAATTGAATATGGGAATACCCAATTGGATAAATGAATGAATGAAAACTCACGCAAGTAAATACAGATTTGTTACTTTCTTTTTTTTTCTTAATTTTTCTTTTTTTATTGTGAAAATACTGTACAGAGGGGTTACAATTACATGGGCAAGATAATGAGTACATTTCTTATCAAGCATTGTAGCCTCCTCCTTTGTTTCCTCTTTCCATCCCATCCTCCACCTCCTTGCCCCCCCACCCAATCCCCCCCAAAGTTGTAAAGTTCTTTTTTGACTTGTATATCTCATTGTTGCAATGGGTCCACCTGTATCCCTATTTAAACGATTTGTTTTCCCCTTCCCCTCCACAAATTATACCGACATCAAATACAGTGAAAGCAGGGGTTATACTGGGGGGGGGAGGGACATACAAAGAAACAAAGAAATAATCTTATAAATGTGTTAGAAACAATCACAGGAAAGAAAAAAAACATTTGAATACATATCTTAGGGTTCATTTCCCTAACATCAACATATCTGAACTTTTTCTGCTTGACTCAGACATATACTAGTTATTGCAAATAAGGGAAACCATGGGACCTATGTATCTTTGGGCCTGGCTTACTTCACTTAATATAATTTTTTTCCATGCCTTTCCATTTCCTAACAACTGGGGCAATGCCATTCTTTCTGATGGAGGCATAGATTCCATTGTGTATATATACCACATTTTCTTGATCCATTCATGTACTGAGGGACATCTGGGTTGGTTCCATATCTTAGCTATAGTAAATAATGCTGCAATAAACATAGTCATGCTGGTAACTTTAGTGTGGTCTTGTTTGTGAACATTTGAGTAAATGCCCAAAAGTCGGATTGCTAGGTCATAGGGGAGCTCTATGTGGAGTCTTTTGAGGAACCTCCATACTGCTTTCCAAAGTGGTTGAACTAGTTTACATTCCCACCAACATTGCAGTAGGGTTCCCTTCTGTCGACATCCCCTCCAGCATCTGTTGTTATTAGAGTTCTTGATTTTTGCCATTCTAACTGGTGTGAGGTGGTATCTCAATGTTGTTTTGATTTGCATTTCTTTTATGGCTAGGGAGGTTGAGCATTTCTTCATGTGTCTATTGGCCATCCTTCTTTCTTCTTCAGAGAAGTTTCTCTTTAAGTCTTTAGCCCACTTATTTATTGGACAATTGTTTCTTTGAAGATTTGTTGTTGGTGGATTTAATTTTTTGAGTTCCAGGTATATTTTAGATATGAGACCCTTGTCTGTTGTATGTCTAGTGAAGATCTTCTCCCAATCCGTGGGCTTTCTATTTATCTTGCTAGCTATGTCCTTTGTCATACAGAAGCTCTGCAATTTCATGCAATCCCATTTGTCCAATCTTTCTTTGATTTATTGTGTTTCTGGGTCTCTTTTAAGAAAATTTTGGCCTGTGCCAAGGAGACCTAGGGTTTCTCTTATTCCATCCTGTAATGTTTTCAGAGTGTCTGCTTTGACTCTGAGGTCTTTGATCCATTTGGAGTTGATTCTGTTGCAGGGTGATATATAAGGATCCAGCTTTAGTTTTCTACAAGTAGTTAACCAATTTTGCCAGCTCCATTTACTGAAGAGGCTGTTTTTTTCCATTCTATTTTTTTAGCTCCCTTATCAAAGATTAGATGGCTACAGGTCTGTAGGTTCATTTCTGGGTGTTCAATTCTATTCCATTCATCTGAGGTCTGTTCTTGTGCCAGTACCAAGCTGTTTTGATTGAAATTTGGTATTGATATTCCTCCAGCAGTGTTCTTTCCGTTGAGGATTGTTTTTGCTAATTGGGGTCTTTCATTGTTCCACATGAATTTTTGGATTGCCTCTTCTATTTCCTTGAAGAATGAGGTTGGAATTTTGATAGGTATTGGATTGAATTTGTAGATAGCCTTGGGAACTATTGCCATTTTCATGATATTCATCCTTCCAATCCAGGAAGATGGGAGTTTTTGCCACTTTCTAAGTTCTGTTTTGATTTCCTTTTTTTAAGTTTTTAAAGTTTTCATCATAGAGGTCCTTTACTTCTTTGGTTAAATTAATTCCTAGGTATTTTATTTTTGTGGGGCTATTACGAATGGAGTTGCTTTCCTAATTTCAGCCACACTTTTCTCATTGTTGGCATACAGATTTTTTGAGGGTTAATTTTATACCCTGCTACTTTGCCAAAGTCAGATTTGATTGAAAAGTTTAGACAGATGGAGAGAAAAATACTTAATATTTGATTAAAGTGAATAACCATGAAAGAATATAAAGAATTCCTCTGTCGTAACCACAAACATATCCTAATGTTAATACTTTACATAGTCATGGTGACAAAACTTATTAAGTAGACTGTGTAACTAATGAAGCTACTTTTCACTCGATTCTCCCAAGTACCCTTTTTTTTTTTTGTTCTCGGAACTGATTCAGTATTTCACATTCCATTAAGTTATCATTGATGTTATCGTCATCAATCTATGACAAATGCTCAATATTATCTTACTTTATCTGGACTATTTTAAAGTATCTGTTGTGTGTGTAGAGTGTTCCTCAGTTTTGAGGCCTTTCTCACAGTAAAGTTAAAATTATGAATTTTTGTTAGGTATTAAACAAAAGAAATTTTTCCTTTCTCAATGTATTGTTCCATATATACTCTGGCATCTGTACATATTACAAGGGAAAGAATTAGTAACATTACAGAATCTGCCATGTTTTTCCAGTATAATATTGTTTTGTTTCAGTTGTAATTACAAAATAACTTGTGGAATATCTTTTAAATTTGAAATTTTTGATCTTGAAAATTTCACCTAGGATATTAGAATAAATCTGAATTTGCCTTCAGAAATTATTTCTGTGCAATATTAATGATATTTTCATTTCATTCTTTAAACACTAATGTATATGTATATAAATATGTATATGCCCACATATATAAATCCATAGGATGCTGTAGTTAAAGAACATGTTTTTCAAAATTAAAGAAAAGAGAAAAATTATTTAAAATAAAAATGACAACCACGTGCAAGTGGCTCATGCCTGTAATCCTAGCTCCTCAGATAGCTGAGATCTGAGGATCATGGTTCAGGTTCAAAGCTAGCCGGAGCAGGAAAGTCCTGAGATTCTTATCTCGAATTAATCAACACAAAACCAGAAGTGGCACTGTGGCTCAAGTGGTAGATTGCTTGCCTGGAGCTGACGAGCTCAAGGACTGTGCCCAGACCCAGAGTTCAAGCCCCAAGACCGACCTAGAAAAAAAAAAAGTCCAGAGTATCACATAGATACATAGATAATAGATACTGTAAAATATGTATATAACTAGCACCACACAAGGAAAGCATGGATAAATTATCTGAGGATCACAGTTCAAAGCCAGCTTGGGCAGGAAAGTCTCATGAGGCTCTTAACTCCAATTAATCGCCAGAAAACCAGAAGTGGCACAGTGGCTCAAGAGTTAGAGCGGTTGCCTTGAGCTGAAGAGCTGATGGACAGTGCCCAGGCCTAGAGTTCAAACCCCTAGACTGACAAAAAAAAGAAAAGAAAAGAAAAGAAAAAAAAAGGACTCACACATTCAATGTAATTATTAGCATCTATATTATCGTCACAAGAAAATGCCAGTTATTGTTCACTGGAATGGCTAACTGACTGAAATTTAAGACTCTGAAGTTCTCAGTTATTGGCAAGTGTGTTCACTAATTGGAATTCTCAGATCAATTTTGTGGAAGTGCAAATTGACCGCCCTCATGTTTGTCACTAACATGTACATTCAACATTCATTTTGTTGCAGCAATCTTCCTCTAAGTTTCCCTCTCCCTGTTCACCAAAATACATAAAACTGTCTGCTCAATAGTTTGTACTCTAATCCACATAAAAATATTATTCATTAAGCTAAAATCCTGAAACAAATCTAATGCCTACACATGGAAAGGATAGACAAGTGGTGATATATCAAAATAATAGCATTCTATATATAAATAAAAGGACATAATTACTGATAGTCCCAACCATTTGAATGCTGCTAAATGAATTATGGTTCGTGAAATCATTCAGACAGACAATAATAGAATGTGGTTCCATTCTTATAGAATTCTATAAACTGTAGAAGTATTATGACAGAAACAAATCAACATTTGCCAAACACTGAACAAGAATTAATCAGAGGACTTCGGTGCCACATGGCAACCTATGGGGTAACATTAAATGTGAGGTATCATAATTGTAGTGTTGGTTAGGGATACATAAGGTAAAATTTCACCAAATTAATACTTAACAGTTATTATTTTATTCCATAAAAATTTAACAATTTGCCAAGCAATGAAGTCATTCTCAGTAGCAGCATGAAGCAGTTGCTTGCCTTGCATCCCATAATTCTTGGATTTCTCTATTTAAAGAGACATGAGCTTTAAAAAAAAAAAGATTCAGAGAGGCATTTCTTACAGCACTACTAACAATTTGACACTATTTACCTGAGCTCCAACTTCCACAGTATGTCCAAAAGAGGCCTATATGTTGCCTGTGTTTTCAGGACTGCTATTAAATTTGATCATCCTCTTCTCTGAAGAGAATCATCTTTACCATCTTTTAAATTTTTTTGAGACACTTAAAAGGTGTCTCTGTCTTAGGACTTTAGGATGTCTCTGAGGAGGACATTTCTATCCTAGGATTGAAATACACCTGAGCAAATTGATTGCTAATACTTGGATACTAAAAAATTTAAAAGATTTAAGGGAAATTGTCTCTCAAATAGTTCTCTGTCCTCATTTGTTTTATGTTCTATCATTCTGTATCTATGTTGATAATATCATACATTCATTAACATCTTCACACAGAATTCATCAGTTGGATAATATAAATGAAATAAATGTTTGAGATTACTAGAGTTTAGATAGCTGGTATGTGTTGGCTTTTTAAATTAACTATATGATTGACGAAACATCACATACATCTGTTGTGCAATGGACAAGCAGGTCTATGTTATAATTCTATAAAGAGAAAGAGATACTTTGCAATCCATACATCTAAATCCTAAAAGATTAAAAGAACTTTACATATATTAGTACCAAATTCAGTAGAACTTATTTTTCTTTATTAAGAAAAATGTGTGAGAAATAATAAATTCAAATTACTAGCTTTTTCTCCCTCTAGCAGTACTGGTGTTTGATCTCAGAGTCTTGTTCTTAAGGAGCTGGCTTTTTCTACAAAGTGAGTCATATCCCAGACCCTTTTGCTTTAAGTATTTTTCCAGTAGGGCTTCTAGCTTATGTCTTGCTGGACTTGGACAGTGAGGTACCTACTCACATCTCTCATATTGCTGTGAGCACAGGTACACACCACCACATGCAGCATGAGATGGGGTTGCAAACCTTTGGAATTGACTAACCTCAAACAATGAAGCTCCAGACATCTGCTTCCTGAGTAGCTGGTTACAGGGTGTGCCAACATGCTTACCCTTTCGCTACCTCCTTTATTTATGAGTTTGTCAGCAATCTCTTCTCACTCCACCTGTATTTGACACCTTACTCTAGGACACAGGAGCAAGGGAGTATGAAAATGAGTAGACAGTATGACATAGAAGCATTGTATTATCCAGAGTTGATAATCATGCTCTCTACTTCTTCTGAAAACTATTAAGGGAAAGCATTTAACAAGACAGGGGTAAATTAATGAACAATCAACCAAACTAATTGAGTACAGCAAGACATCAATATTTAGTGATGATCCATTTATTTTTCTGTTTCTGTTCCTGAAATAAGTGTATTCCTAAAATATAAAAATCACTGGTACAATGATGATTTGTCAATCTTTGATAGATATACCTAAAACTGGAAAACTTTGCAGTTCACTGGCTCCCAAGTCTTAAAATGTCTTAAAAGGGGAAAAACAAATCGTTTAAATAGGGATACAGGTGGACCCATTGCAACAATGAGATGTACAAGTCGTTATGTCGAAAATGAACTTTACAATTTTGGTGGGGGAGGGTGGGAGGGAGGATTGAGTAGGGGGGTGGGGGGAAGATGGGAAGGGATGGGAAGGGGAAACAAAGGAGGAGGCTACAATGCTTGATAAGAAATGTACTCATTATCTTGCCCATGTAATTGTAACCCCTCTGTACAGTATTTTCATAATAAAAATTTAAAAAAACAGCAGCTCCAAAAAAAATTTTTTTGGGAAAGTTCTTTTGCTCATATGATTCTTCATGAATTTTTAATTTCTTTTAATATACATATATGAATGGTTGCATCATATACATGCATATATGTACATCATATTTATATTGTACATAACATATGTATTCACATCTATATGTACAATGAAACTTGTGTTAAGGTAACAGTCTATTTATGTCAGCTATTGCTCCTGGTATAGAATTTTGTATCAAAATTCAATTTCTGTAACTTTCATGACATAAAATCTTATACTAAGTAGCCTGACATTAATTATTTCAATTATCTTATTTAAAGATTAATAAGTGCTCCAATTTTTCAATGTTGTGTTTTTTTTGGTACCAGTAACATTAATAGAGTTAATTGAATTTAATGATGTAGGAAAATGATTTATATAATGTGTGTTAATCCTACAGACCATAATCTCATCATGAAAATACCATAAGGTAACTATGTGACAAGTATGAAGTGAACAGATCTGGAGGATGAAAACGTTGATTAACCTACCATTTGGAGTTTGTGTTTTGATCTAAATAAAGTATGACAATAATGTGTTCAAGGAGAAATCAGTATCATGTTTAAAAATGTTCATTGAAACCACAGTACAACTTACTATAAAGAAACTATATTTGAACATCTCTTTCTATAGTTAGAAATAAGTATCATATTACGAAATGGAAAGACTTGGAAAAAATTATATTAAGTGAAGTAAGCCAGGCCCAAAGAAATATAGATCCCATGGTTTCCCTTATTTGCAATAACTAGTATATGTCTGAGTCAAGCAGAAAAGGTCAGATAAGTTGATGGTAGCGGAATGAACCCCAAGATAAGTATTTAAGTGTTTTTTTTTCTTTCATGCAATTGTTTCTAACATATTTATAAGGTAATTTCTATGTTGCTTTGTATGTCCCTTCCCCACAGTATAATCCCTGCTTTCACTGTATTTGATGTTGGTATAATTTGTGGAGGGGAAGGGCAAAAACACATCGTTTAACTAGGGATACAGGTGGACCCATTGCAACAATGAGATGTACAAGTCGTTATGTCGAAAAATGAACATCACAACTTTGGTGTGTGTGGTGGGGAGGATCGGATAGCGGGAGGTGGAGGGAATATGGGAAGGGAGGAGAAGGGGAAACAAAGAGGAGGCAACAATGCTTGATGAGAAATGTACTCATTATCTTGCCCATGTAATTGTAACTCCTCTGTACGGTACTCTCACAATAAAAAAAAAAAGTTCATTGAAACCATAGCACAACTAAGGATTCCAGATTAAAAAACACAAAATATATGGCAAGGTTATTAAATTAGTCTTGGAGCTTAAAAAAAGTGAAAAGTCTACAAAATATCTGGGCATCATCAACCAGATGGACGAGTTTGGATTTACCTTTTGGGACACCAACTGGTGTCAGAGAAAAGGTCATATTTGCCATTTAATAAGATATCTATAAGAAGACAGTAGGTGGGCATCGCTGGCTCATGCCTGTAACCCTTGCTACTCAGTAGAATGAGATCTGAGGATCACAATTCGAAGCCAGCTCAGGCAGAAAAGTCCCAATGAGACTCTTAACTCGATTAACCACTCAAAAACTGGAAGTGGCGCTGTGGCTCAAATGACAGTAGAGTGCTAGCTTTGAGCAGAGAAAGGCTTAGAAACAATGCCTAGGCCCTGAGTTCAAGCCCCACAAACCCCTCCCCCATCAAAAAAAGAGAGTAGATCGTATGTAAGAATGGAGTTTGTTAACAAGTCAGAGAAATAATTTTATTGGTATGTATGACAGATATAAAGATGGAGTCCTCAATCCAACAGGAACCATGAAGATCTGTGGTGAGTGATACATGGGAATACCCAGAGAGTATTTCAGAAAATTTCACTTAGCCAGGATTGAATTTGAAATCAGAATCAAGGAGAG